GAAAGCAGCAGCCCCAAAGGCAGCAGCTCCAGCTAAGAAAGCAGCAGCTCCTAAGGCAGCAGCACCCGCTAAAAAAGCAGCTCCTAAAAAAGCCGCCGGAGGCAAATAAGCTTCCACAAGAAGACTAAGAGAGACTACACTAACCCGTGGTCTCTTTTTTTATGCACAAAAAAATCCCGGCAGCTTAAACGGCTGCCGGGATTTAGAAAGAAGAAGAAACACGTTGGGTAACAGATCTATTGTTTGATCAGCTTGCCTTGTTGTGTCCACTGTTGCGATTCACTGCTGATAGTGTAAAAATAGATACCGGCAGCTACCTCCGGTATCGGTAATGATACCGATTTTGCCTCGCGTATCTGTTGCCGGCATACAACCTGCCCTACGCTATTGACGAGTTCAAAATTGACAGGCTCAGGTGTCTTCATTTCCAGATGGATCTCATGATGAAACGGGTTAGGAGACACGGTAATATTAACCGGCTTTTCATTGATACCGGGTACGGAGGTAGGCTTGTCGGCCTCATAAGCTACGAACCGGTGCACTCTTGGATTCACCCCATTCGTGCCCAATGCCAATATCTTGCCATCCCGCTGCCCGATCAGCTTAACGATCCGGTCATTGCCGGTACTTGTAAAGCGGCCATTATTGGGGTACTGTGCATTGATGGTACCATCGGGGTTGTAACAGGTATAAGTGTGTAAGGACGCAGTGCCGGTATCAACACTGGTGAATAAATAATTATTGGCGGATAAAGAACCAAAAGCGTAGCCATTGCCATTATGTGATAAATGCGGGAAATAGGTAAACCCATTTGTACCAAACTGACTCATAATCGTACCACGCGCATCCAGCTTAGCAATAAACCGTCTTGTACCAATGGCTCCCTGTATATAAAATGGGCCTGGCGCAGCATTGTTGGTGTTTGAATCTACTGCGATGTTCCAAATATTTTCATTGAAGCCCGCGCCATCGATGATCCGCACACCATTCGTTCCAAAACTCCGGTCCAGTTGTCCGTTCAGGTCATACAAGACGAGAAACAAGTCGCGTCTCAGGGTTGCCGACATTGACACTGCACTTCCCGCTACCAGGACTTTATTGTTGGATAAAAACCGGATGGCCGTAATCGTACTGTAACGCCCCACCAGGCCCGGTGGAATCGCCACACGCACATACCCGTTCGTACCAAACGACCGGTCAAGGCTTCCGTCGTATCGCATACGTGCCAGCGATAAAGAATCGGTATCAGGCGGGGGGAATGAACTGCCAGCAAACAACACGCCTACCCCAGGTTGTTCCTTCACATCCATGATGTTCCGTATCGACGCCGGGTTATTATACTCCTGGATAGAGCCGTAGCCCGGCATTGCAATACTACCAAACAAAGTGTCCAAGGTGCCGTTACTGTTAAACTGGATGATGGCATCCGGGCCAATCGTCAACAACACTTTTTTATTTGACAATTGACGCACAACACTCATATTGGGGTTGCAGGCAGTACCCTGCATTTCTATAACTCCCGGATGGTACACCGGGTAGGTTCTGTAACTGCGTGAAGGCGTAAACGATGGGTCGAGGCTTCCGTTGGTATTCAGCCGGCATAAAAATCCATGTCCGCAATTTCCATTCACCAATATCAGGATTTTCTGATCATCCTGGAGTGCCATATCCACGCCATAAAAGGCATCCACAGAATCTAAATAAGAGATACCGTTGTTTCCAAAAGCAGGATCATAAAAGGTCTGCGCATTCAATTGCGCTGTGGCAAGGGACATTAATGCCCCGATGAAACATAAAGTAGTCTTCATTGTAGTGTGGTTTGTTAGATTAACACCATAGACCACGTTTCAAAAACAAAGGGTTGGGATAAGGATAA